GTCATGTCACGTCCTGTCTGTCACACCCAGATTCTCAAGGTCAGTCCTTCGGTATCCCAGTCTGGTATCCAGTGTGAGGGATGCACCGCTGGTGTCTGCACGCACCGCTGGTATCCCCAAACCCACTCACACTAACCCTTCTGTTCATGAACTAATTCCCCTGTCTGAAGTGTTTCCCCTGATGGGGATCGCCTTTTGTTGCGTTTGGGCTGCATACACCTCCACAGAACTCCCAGAGGCGGCAGCACCCACTATCAGGTCTGCAGAGTCGGTGGCTGAAGCTACAGTCTCTCCTGAGGTGGTGGTGCTCGCTGCTGTGTTCCCCGAAGCGATGGTGCCCGCTGCAGTTTCTCCAGAGGTGGCGGCGCGTGCTGCAGAACCTTCCGAAGCGGCGGTGCTCGCTTCAGCTCCTTGCGTGGTGGTGGCGCCTAGAAACGTACATTCGACCTGTCATGTCAGGGTCGAAGAAACCTCCGCCGAACTCTCCCTTTATCCTGAGGGCGCTACTGTAGAACCTCCAGAGGTGGCGGCATCCGGTGCAGAACCTCCAGAGGTGTCAGTAGTACCCACCTAATCTCACGTCTCGTCAGCCCCGTTACAGTTCTGTTCTGGGGCCTCTTCTTTTTACAATTTATATGCTACCAATTGGACAAATAATCAAACACTAGTTATACTGATGACATTCAGATTTATTTTAGCACACCTTCTACCTCAGTCAAGCACAAGACATCCATCAAGCATTTTCTTCCAGCTGCGCTCAATTCTCCAGGCTGCTCTCTTTAAGGCAAGAGTGTGCTTGTTACACCACGGTGTCGGACTGTTTTCCTTAATCTTCTTTAAGATTATTTACAAAGCAGTCTTTTGTGGTAGAATTGTAAGTAATGCAAATTTGAACATTTACTAATGCATTATTAAAATCAAAAGTTGTATCTATTAATATTAGTTAATGCACTGTTAGCATGCAAATGCATTTTAAAAATTGAATTTTTATTAACCAACATTAACAAAGATTAATAAATGCTGTAAAATATATATCGCTAATTAAGTTAATTTTAGCTAATGCATTAACAAATGAAATCTTACTGTTAAGTGTTCTAAAGTGTATATATAGATATAGCAAAACAATAATGAAAATCATTGGTATCATCACAAATTATTGTTGTAAATTAAATATTGTAACTTTTAGCTCTGTTGGTATTAAAACTGTACTGTGAAATGTACAGGAAGTCAGCTGGATTGAATTAATCTAGTTCCTTCATAGTTTTATATTATATCCTGGACTCCTACTGCATATGGAAAAAATAAATCATCATCAGACAGGACTGACAACAGCATAAAATCAAATCTACAAATTCAACCCTGATGTGTGCATTTAATGAGACAATTTAGCCATCATTCCCTCTCCTCATGTCTTCTGATGTTTTGAAAATGAATAATTTGATAAATGAATAAATGTAAATGTATTTTGAAGAATGCTGGGAGACGAACAACTCTGGACCCGCTGACTTTCATTATATGAACAGAAAACACTGGGACATTTCTCAGAATCTCTTTGTGTGTGTTTCACTGAAGAAAGAAAGTCAGGTTTGAATGAGAGGAAATTATGACAGAACCATGATTTCTGTCTGTAAATGATCTGTTCTTCACACGAGTGAGAGTTTGGAAGTGAATGTGTTTGATGGTCATGAGAATAACATCTCAATGCTAAAAGCAGATGGTTTGTGAACTGTACTGTGAAATGTACAGGAAGTCAGCTGGATTGAATTAATCTAGTTCCTTCATAGTTTTATATTATATCCTGGACTCCTACTGCATATGGAAAAAATAAATCATCATCAGACAGGACTGACAACAGCATAAAATCAAATCTACAAATTCAACCCTGATGTGTGCATTTAATGAGACAATTTAGCCATCATTCCCTCTCCTCATGTCTTCTGATGTTTTGAAAATGAATAATTTGATAAATGAATAAATGTAAATGTATTTTGAAGAATGCTGGGAGACGAACAACTCTGGACCCGCTGACTTTCATTATATGAACAGAAAACACTGGGACATTTCTCAGAATCTCTTTGTGTGTGTTTCACTGAAGAAAGAAAGTCAGGTTTGAATGAGAGGAAATTATGACAGAACCATGATTTCTGTCTGTAAATGATCTGTTCTTCACACGAGTGAGAGTTTGGAAGTGAATGTGTTTGATGGTCATGAGAATAACATCTCAATGCTAAAAGCAGATGGTTTGTGGGTGAACGAGCTGAACGTGATCCTGACAGCAGCACATGGACGTCAGCCAATCAGAGCATCACAGGAAGTCATGATTTTCCAGGAGAAAGCCTTTAAAATTACTGGATAAAATAAAACTTTAAAATGACTGGATAAAACATGTTTGTGTTTGTAGCTGGACAGCAGCACTGCTCTCTCTCACACACACACACAAACACGGTTCAGAGGAACTAACTAGTCCTAATCGGACTAGTTTACGGAGTAACTGTCCTGTCCAGAATAGAGAGGATGGATCTGCTGGTCGGGAAACATCTCACACAAACATGAAGGAGCTCAGAGCGTCAGTCCAGTGCAGAATTATCTCAAACTCCCATGATGCCTTCCAGCATTTACAACCGGATCTTCATCTTTGAGTTCCATGAAATCAAACAAACAGAAATAAACGAGGTAAATCCAGACGCCACACACTAGATCCTATGAAATCGTCCGAGGTGGGGGCGGGTGTCAGTTTGCTCGGCATTGTGGGATACAGAAGCAGTTTTGGTGAAAGGGTCACGCGTTCCCATAATGCACAGCTGCGTCTGCAGTCAACGTACCAGCAGAAGTGCTTGGACTGGGTGTCGCATTTCCTCCTCAAGCAGCGTGAAGACGACGATGAGACGCGACGTTACGAGACGAGACGAGCAGAGTGTGTGTGTGTGTGTTCAGCACTCCAGCGGCAGCAGGAAGCAGCGTCTGCAGTCGACGGCTTTAGGACTGGGCGGCTGGACTCTCTTCCTCCTCAACTCCTCTCGGCCCAGAGAACTGCTCAAGCGCACATACGCCGCCTTATAACGCTTATCAAAGGAAGCTGCGGACGACACACACACAGATGAAACATTGTTCATTTACTTTTTTTAAATATTATTTGAAATTCTCTTCAACTTAAGGGATAGTTCACCCAAAAATGAACATTTGCTGTTAATGTACTCACACTCAGGCCATCCAAGAACAGTAAAGAATATTTTTAGCTGAAATTATGCTCCTTGGAATGTTCCTGATGATATATTGTGGTCTTATGAAGCGAAACAATCAGTCTGTGCAAGAAATGTAACATTATTTACAACATTATTACTAGGGGTGCTCCGATTGATCGGCTACTGATCACTATCGGCCGATAATCACGTTGGGATGATTGATCGGCGCTCTCTAAAAAGGCAGATCTCCAACAACCGTTCTCAAGCTGATGACGCTGCTGTGAGAGGTTTGGCACGACATGCAGTGGCACCGTCTCAGTCCGGCGCGGGTGAAATCATTATAATGCTGAAGGTGACATACTCACCTTCATATTTCTTCATTAAATAACTTTTTTAAGTAATTTGAAAACCTTTTTCATTGAACAAAATTGACAAAATTGTAACTTGCACAATCGAGGCAGTGTCACATCGTCACTAAAGTTTATAAATTGCATTACTTTTTCATTCTTGCCAGTGTTTAACCATTCAGCGCTCGCACGCTCTTCTGGTGCACACTCGCAGCGCACACACATAACGCCAGGTTCACATTACTCTGTTTGCTGTGTGTATGTGGTGTGTATTTTTTCCGCGCTCATGTTAACGGAATAATAAAGCGTGCACACTGCACACGGTTGCGGTCCAGCAGTGTGTTCAGGAGCGGTGCGTCTGCAGCAGTGCAGAGATCGTTTCAGCACCGAGTCTATGTTTGCTGCGCTGCAAGCGCTGAATTAAAGTAACAGCGCATTGTTTGCAGTAAATATAAACATGGATTGACACGAAAATGTAGTAATTACACCATAAATGCATATTAATAAACTCTACTGTGTTTCATAGTTAACAGATATAGCTTGTTGGCTGGGTTTAAAGGAAAAGAGCACTTTTAGATAAACAAGGCAATAATAGATGGCACTCGTGGAGGAAGGAAAACAAAGTGAACCGCAGGATTGCTTGTAATAAAGATTTCAATGCAAAAGGAAACACAGTAGAGCTGACTATTTCTGTCAGTGGTAAGTTTGTGATAACGTAAGAAAAGTAGTTTAAATGTTTTGCCACTTGCAATGCTGAAAAAGCACTTTCAGTGACAATGTTAGGATTTGAAATCAAACTAATGGATAAATGTAGTGTTTGTGGTAAACACGGATCAGTGGCGGACTCCTGTGTGAAAGCTGCTTCTCTCACAAGAGACACCTAAGAGGGGAATTTCCCCCATTTTCAAAAATGATATTCAGGCCCTGAATAAATGTCTAAAAATCCTGATTGGAGTATCACTATAAATAGTTATAAATTATAAAAAGAAGGCTTTAAAAAGATGGGTATCGGTGATCGGTATCGGCAGATACTGCTTTCTGCGATCGGCCTCAAACATCCTGATCGGAGAACCCCTAATTATTATTGTAATCCAGAGCCTCAGGCAAACGGTCCAGAGTGATGTTCGGTTCACAAACAAATCATTCTTTTGAACTGGTTCATTTTAATGAACTAGTTGAACCAGCTCATCAAATCGGACTGAAGTGTCTGAAACAGTTCATGTCTCGAGCAGCACAGATCTACAAGTTACTCAATCAAAACTCACTTTCAGACGCATGTCAGTCACTCCAACTGGAAATGAGTCGCATATCTGATTCAGCGCTCCAGTTCCTCCAACAGTCACTGAACTGAGGAAACGGTTCGACTCGGACCGAAGACCAATGAGCCGCTGAACTGCACACGCGTGAACCCAGCACTCGAATGAAGGGCCAAATGAAAGTTTTTATGGTTTCTCATTATGTAAAAAGATGAACTGAAGAAGACAAGTTTATTCACTTTATATGCTTTAGACATGTAAAATATCCACGATTCACATCATTATTGGATGCTTTAATAATATAATTGTGGAGGTAAGGTTTCTAAGTCACAACTTCTTGCTACTGGGGTTCCTCAGGGCTCAGTGCTTGGACCACTTTTCTTCTCCATCTACATGTCATCAGTAGGATCTGTCATTCAGAAGCTTGGCTTTTCCTAGCACTGCTATGCTGACGACACTCAACTCTACTTCTCAATCCAACCAGAAGATCTGACGGTAGCTGTTCGCATTGCAGCATGTCTGACAGACATCTCTGGCTGGATGAAGGACCATCACCTTCAACTCAACCTTGCTAAGACAGAACTGCTCGTGTTCTCAGCCAACCCAGCACTTCATCACAACTTCTCTATACAGTTAGGCTCATCAACCATAACTCCTTCCAGGACAGCCAGGAACCTTGGAGTTGTGATTGATGATCGGTTAAGCTTCACAGACCATATTGCTACAACAACCCGGTCCTGCAGATTTGCCTTATACAACATTAGGAAGATTAGACCCTTCCTATCAGAGCAAGCTGCACAACTCCTTGTCCAAGCTCTTGTTCTCTCCAGACTGGACTATTGTAATGCTCTCTTGGCAGGCCTTCCGGCATTTACTATCAAGCCTCTGCAACTGATCCAGAATGCAGCAGCGAGAGTGGTCTTCAACGAGCCGAAGAAAGCCCACGTCACACCTCTCTTCATCAGTTTGCACTGGCTGCCAATAGCTGCTCGCATCAAATTCAAGGTACTGTTATAAGACAACCACTGGCTCTCCACCAGTATACCTAAACTCACTAGTTCAGACTTATGTGCCCTCCTTGTGTTCTGCAAGTGAACGACGCCTCATGGTTCCGTCCCAAAGAATCACGCTCTCTGACATTTTCCTGGACTGTTCCCAGCTGGTGGAACGACCTGCCGATCTCAATTCGAGCAGCTGAGTCTTTAGCCATTTTCAAAAAAAAGTCTAAAGAGACATCTTTTTCGCCAGCACCTGACCAATTAATACTAGCACCTAACTATTCTATTCGTTTTTGTTTTTTTCCCCAACATATATATATATATATATATATATATATATATATACACGTAAACGAACTGGTGAATTGAACCTGTTCATTGAATTGAACTGTCCGAAAGAATCAGTTCATAGAAAAGATTTTGCCTGAGGCTCTGGATTACAGTAATAATGTTGTAAATAATGTTCAGTTTCTTGCACAGACCGATTGTTTTGTTTCATAAGACCTCAATATATCATCAGGAGCCACAGGGATTCATTTTGTGTCACCTGTATGTGCGTTTTTGACTCTCAAAGTGCCGGTAGCCATTGACCTGCATTTTATGAATCACCGAAGTCCACGGTTACAGCTAAAAATCTTCTTTACTGTTCTACTGAAGAAAAAAAGTCAACTACCCCTACTGAAAAAAACAGCATATGCTGGTTAGGTATGTTTTGAAGCATGGTAGCTAGTTGCTCAGGACCAGCTTATAACCTGCTTAAACCAGCTACCATGCTTTAAAACATACCTAACCATCATATGCTGTTTTCTTTCAACAGGGACATATTGGATGGTGTGAGTAAATTAACAGCAAATGTTGATTTTTGGGTGAACTATCCCTTTAAGTTGGAGTACTAAACCTACTAAAACAGACATAAAAATAGATGTCAAAATAAAAACTGCACGGGTTCTGCTCGTTTATTGGAGTTTGATGGTCCTTCGCCACTCACCGACGTGATCTTTGCCCATGGCGGCCACCGTGAGGAAGAGCATCTCTCTGTACAGGCTCCTGCAGATCCACACAAACACACGTCAGTCGCGCGTTCAGACTCACCTGAGCATCACCTGAGCTCTCACCACTCCTCACCTCTGTATCCGCGGAGTGCCGGGCTGCTTAGCAACTGTATCCAGGAAGAGCACGATGGCCTTGTGTACCTCGTTCAGACCGATCCAGCGTAGCACTTCCTCCAGGAAGCTGAGGTTGAAGGGATGGTTGTGATGCCGCCAGCTGTAGCTGCGCATGGGGACGCCACCTGCAGGACGGGAGGGGAATCACATTAAATAATGGGAATCGACAGATTATTAATACTGTAATACTGTAGGAGAGTACATATACTCGCCAGTGCTGATTTTACTTGCATTTGCGCTTGATGAGTGTTACTCTCATAATGCATTGGTGTCCGTTTTGACCCAGAAGAGATACATAAAAAATTCTAAAAAATGCAGTTTTTAGTGAGGGAGCGATGCTTTGCATTTCTTTTTTACAATTTTTTTAAAGATATATAACCATTTAAATACATGTGACATGTTTCATGTAAAATATATTTAGTCTTTTGTTGATGAACATGAATATGTATGTCTACTGATGAACCATTGCAGCAAGAAAAACTGATCACTTTTTTATCTGAAAGTGAATGCTTATGCGTATGAACTTATTTTGTTTGAAAATATTTCAGAGTGTTGTTTTGATAGAAATTATGTAGTTTTCATACATTTGGACTGTATCTGAGCAATCAAGAGTTATAAATTCATTCCAATGGGCTAAATACGAGTAATTCTCAGATTATATGTTGTTTTAAATTTTATACAATGATATATTCAAATTAAAAAAATCTCAACAACATTACTATACGTATATAGTAATGTATACCCCAGTATTGGGGGTAATGCATTACAAGTACCGCAAGTTACATAATCAGATTACTTTTTCAAGTAATTAGTAAAGTAACTCATTATTTTAAATTTACAACAAAACATCTGGTTGACTTTTTCAGGTAAGAAATGCCAGATCCTTCCCATGTACTGACTGACAGCTCTCCTGTCTTCATGCTGAGAGAAATCAGGAGTGAGTGCAGAGACAGAGGCTCTTCCTTCAGCTTTTGGGTTTTTGTTATTAAAAAAACAAATAAACAAGCCCAGCCCAGATGACAAAAAATATTGCAGAAGTCATGTAATGCATTATTTTCCATAAAAACTAACTAAGTAACGCAGCTTGTTACTTTTGTATGGATAACGCAATATTGAAATACATTACTTTTAAAAGTAACTTTCCCCAACACTGGTTATATAGTATTTATTTTGCATCATGGTAACATTCAAAACTTTGACATGTTTTCACATTCACTCATTAACGAGAAGTTGCTGATCAGTGTGGTTTTAGTTGAAAAATATTAAGTTTTGTGAAAACAGGTAAGAGATTTTGAATGTATTATGAGTGTTGATGTTAGGCTTTGTGTGTGTGTGTGTGTGTGTGTGTGTGTGTGTGTGTGTGTGTGTCTTACTGTGAATCCTCCAGAGCATGTAGAGTGCCGGCCACTGCTCTGTATCTGGGGTCAGTGTGTCCCACAGCAGCCTCACGCGCACCGCCGTGCCCTCTGACCCCTGACACACAAACACACCGTCAGCTGAGCTCCTCTGTGACTGAGTGAGTGAGTGTGTATGGTTAGGGTTAGCGATGTATGTTAATATGTGTGTGTGTGTGTATGTACGAGAGTGTGTGTGTGAGTGAGTGTGTATGGTTAGGGTTAGCGATGTATGTCGATATGTGTGTGTGTGTATGGGTGCGTGTGTATGGGAGTGTATGTATGTATGAGAGTGTGAGTGAGTGAGTGTGTATGGTTAGGGTTAGCGATGTATGTCGATATGTGTGTGTGTGTATGGGTGCGTGTGTATGGGAGTGTATGTATGTATGAGAGTGTGAGTGAGTGAGTGTGTATGGTTAGGGTTAGCGATGTATGTCGATATGTGTGTGTGTGTATGGGTGCGTGTGTATGGGAGTGTATGTATGTATGAGAGTGTGAGTGAGTGAGTGTGTATGGTTAGGGTTAGCGATGTATGTCGATATGTGTGTGTGTGTATGGGTGCGTGTGTATGGGAGTGTATGTATGTATGAGAGTGTGAGTGAGTGAGTGTGTATGGTTAGGGTTAGCGATGTATGTCGATATGTGTGTGTGTGTATGGGTGCGTGTGTATGGGAGTGTATGTATGTATGAGAGTGTGAGTGAGTGAGTGTGTATGGTTAGGGTTAGCGATGTATGTCGATATGTGTGTGTGTGTATGGGTGCGTGTGTATGGGAGTGTATGTATGTATGAGAGTGTGAGTGAGTGAGTGTGTATGGTTAGGGTTAGCGATGTATGTCGATATGTGTGTGTGTGTATGGGTGCGTGTGTATGGGAGTGTATGTATGTATGAGAGTGTGAGTGAGTGAGTGTGTATGGTTAGGGTTAGCGATGTATGTCGATATGTGTGTGTGTGTATGGGTGCGTGTGTATGGGAGTGTATGTATGTATGAGAGTGTGAGTGAGTGAGTGTGTATGGTTAGGGTTAGCGATGTATGTCGATATGTGTGTGTGTGTATGGGTGCGTGTGTATGGGAGTGTATGTATGTATGAGAGTGTGAGTGAGTGAGTGTGTATGGTTAGGGTTAGCGATGTATGTCGATATGTGTGTGTGTGTATGGGTGCGTGTGTATGGGAGTGTATGTATGTATGAGAGTGTGAGTGAGTGAGTGTGTATGGTTAGGGTTAGCGATGTATGTCGATATGTGTGTGTGTGTATGGGTGCGTGTGTATGGGAGTGTATGTATGTATGAGAGTGTGAGTGAGTGAGTGTGTATGGTTAGGGTTAGCGATGTATGTCGATATGTGTGTGTGTGTATGGGTGCGTGTGTATGGGAGTGTATGTATGTATGAGAGTGTGAGTGAGTGAGTGTGTATGGTTAGGGTTAGTGATGTATGTCGATATATATTTGTGTGTGTGTGTGCGTGTTTATGGGAGTGTATGTATGTATGAGAGTGTGAGTGAGTGAGTGTGTATGGTTAGGGTTAGTGATGTATGTCGATATGTGTGTGTGTGTGCGTGTGTATGTGTGTGTGTGTGTGTGTGTGTCTCTATGTGTGTGTGTGTGTGCGTGTGCGTGCGTGCACGTGTGTGTATGTGAGTGTGTATGGTTAGGGTTGGGATGTTTGTCGATATATGTGTGTGTGTGTGTGTGTGTGTGTACGAGAGTGTGTATGGTTAGGGTTGGGATGTTTGTCGATATATGTGTGTGTGTGTGTGTGTGTGTGTGCGCATATGAGAGTGTGTGTGAGAGTGAGTGAGTGAGTGAGACCTGTGCGAGGCGTGCGGTCAGCGGAGACGTCCGCAGCAGCTGCAGCAGGTTACTGGGCAGGCCGAGGCGAGTGAAGTACCACACCAGATTCCAGAAGAGGATGGAGTGACTGTCCAGCAGCTGGACCTGAGAGAGAACAGCATCGCCCTCGTTCTCCAGCAGACTCTCCATCTCCTTGCGCAGCACCAGCGGGCTCAGGTACGCCACCGTCACCTGCGGGGCCCCGCCCACCGACGGCACGCTGCTCTCTGATTGGCTGCTGGTCTCAGAGCTGGAGTCCGTCTCTCTGACGCCGTTGCACAGGTGCTGCAGTGTGTCGTCCGGAGCAGCGGGAGGACGCATGATATTCTGCATCTCATCCTCCGCACTCAGGTTACTGCGCTCCACGCTGCACACACACACACACAGAGACACACACACAGAGACACACACACACACACACACACACACACACACACACACAGAGAGACAGAGACAGAGACAGAGACACACACACAATCAGATCATGTGACTCCATATGAATAAGTGCCCCCCCCCCTTTCTAAGTACATAAGTATTTTCAAATGGTTTTTTTTCTTCAGTATAATCAGTATTTGATTATCGTACAAATAGTGCAGAAACTTACATTTTTTCACATTTTTTATAAATAGTTTTTTTAATATCCTAAAAAAGTTTATTTTAAAGTTGAAATTAGACTTTGAATGACAGATGTAGAGTGTGACCCCACTGGACCCCACTGTATGTGTGTGTGTGTGTGTGTGTGTGTGTGTGTGAATGTTGTTCTCACATCAACGTCATTGTGATTCCTAGCGACTTATGGTTGAGAATATTGACCACATAAATACCACATTCTTTTTTTCACAAATAGAAAACTATTTATAAACTTACTATAGAGGAAGATTTAATATTTACATTCATATTTATTCGAGGTCTTGGCTATAGTGGAAAACAGAAAATCGGGGGGAAAAAACCTATTCAATTTACTATTGAATTTGGGGAAAATATTTATTATATATTAATAATAAATAAAAATAATATATATTAAAATATTAAGATCTCTTTAAAACAAAAACAAAATCTTTTTTTTTTTGTTAGACAAGATAAAACATTTCTCTGAATTCCCCTGAAATTCTGCGTTATTTCAGTAATTTAACTCTGATGTTGATCTCATCAAAAGATCTCTGGTGTTGCTATTCTTATGAACTTTGAACAACAGTTGTTTGTTTCAGACACAAAAATATCAAATTAACTGAAAATGTGATTTTTTTGTTCTTAAGGCAAAGTAGAATTTTCATAATCTTAAAATTATTTAATTTGGAAGAAATTATTTGAAGTATTATAATCTACTCTTTAAAAAAATATTAAATTATCCTAAAGGAGAGAAAAGTTCCCCTAATCAAATACTCAAGCGTGTGTTATTTTAGTATCAATTAGATAGTTTTCATTAATATTTTGAATCAGATTTTTATATATTTTCTATTTTGATTTTAAAGTTTTGTTGTGTTTTATATTATTACTTATTATACAGTTTTTATTCATTTTAATTCAGTTCCAGTTTTAGTTATTTTAGTCAAAAAAAGTTATAATAAATTTAAATAAAGCTGAAATAAAATGAGTTTAAGTTTATGTTTTGTATTATTTCAGTGAATGTTTATTTTATTTCAAATAACACAAACGTTTGTTTTTTTTGGTTAGTTTCAGTAGTTCTGCGTCACCTGCAGACGGGCCCCGGGTCACAGATCTCTGCGTTCAGCAGCGGGACGAACGGCGCGGAGCAGAACGGACAGGTGGTGTTGAGATTAGAGTCGTCAGACGACCAGCCGGCCATGATCTCCTCATCATACACCAGAGAATTACAGCTGCGGCACAGCGAGCAGCTCGACATCAGCACCTGCGCACACACACAGACAGATAAACACACACTCACAGATACACACACCGAGACCGATTCTGCTCTCATTCAGCATGAAAACAGCCTGTTACTGTAGTGCATAAAGAGTCACAAACCTCAATGCCCGCCCCTTCCTGTGCAGAATCCCACGACTTCCTGAGAGGAACTGCTAGCGTCTGGATGTCCGTCATGTCAATGTCACTCCCTACAGACAGAGAGCTCTGCGCACACACACACACACACACACACACACACACACGTG